GTAGTAGTAGTACGAGTAGTAGTAGTAGTAGTAGTAGTAGTAGGAGTAGTAGTAGTAGTAGTCGTCGTGGTGGTGGTGGTGGTGCTGCTGCTGCTGGTGCTGGTGCTGGTGCTGGTGCTGGTGCTGGGGCTGGTGCTGGTGCTGGTGTGGTTGTCGTTGTCGTTGTGGTTGCTGTTGCTGTTGGCGCTGGTGGTGCTGGTGGTGCGGTTGCTGTTTCTGTTGCTGTTGCTGTTGGAGCTGTTGGAGCTGTTGTTGCTGTTGCTGTTGTGTTGCTGTTGCCGTTGCCGTTGCCGTTGCCGTTGCTGTTGCTGTTGTTGCTGCTGTTGTTGCTGCTGCTGTTGTTGTTGTTGTTGTTGCTGTTGCTCTTGTTGTTGCTGTCTGTTGTGGTGGTTGTCGTGGTTATGGTGGTGTTGGTCGGGCGTAGCTGCGGTTGCAGTGCTATTTGCGGTTGTGGTTGACGTGGCTGTTATGTTGCTGTTGTTGCTGTTGTTGTTGTGGTTGATGAGGTTGTTGTTGTTGTTGTTGCGGTTGCGGTTGCGGTTGCGATTGTGTGTTGCGGTTGCGGTTGTGGTTGTTGTTGATGTTGCTGTTGCTGCTGCTGTTGTAGTTGTGGTTGTTTGTTTGTTCTTGTTGTTTTTGCTGTCGTTGTGGTTTGTTGTTAAATATTGCAGCCTTTATGTCCCTGAGCTGTCAGTGCAGTGGCCTTTCGCCGAGAACCTGAGACTGCCTTGAAACCTCCGTTTTGGGATTTGGACTGGGGCTTAAGGCTTAAGGATTCCACTCGGTTCAACGGGCATAGCGGTCGAGGGGACGGGGCGGAAGGAGGGGGAGTGCACGCTCTTGGATGGGCAGTGGGTGGGCAATCGACAGGGACTCAGTGTCAGGCACCACCACCTCTTGCAGCAACAGCGGCAGCAACAGCAACAGCAACAGCAACAATAACAAGAATCGTAGAAGAACAACAGCAGCAGCACGACTTACACTTAGCAAACAAGCGACGAAGGTGATGTTACTACTGTTAAGGATGACGGCAAACAATGGGGCCTGGTTTCGGGAATGCTTAGACTCGAAACTGCCAGTGATGAAGCGGGTGGGATGCTCATGATGTTGGAGGCACTACTGAATAGCATGGTAATGATGGTGATGTCTATGATGATGGTGATCATCACCATCATGATGATGATGATCACCATCATCACCGTCATCATCATCATCATCATCATCATCATCATCATCATATCATCATCATCATCATCATCATCATCATCATCATCTTGATCATCATTATCACCACCATCATCATCAACATCATCTCAACGGTCATCACATATATATATATATATATGCATATGCTGGCATATCAGGACCGTGCATGAGAACTAAAACTTTAACTAGTATCCAAGGAACCGTTGATCATAGGACTGGGTTCTGGCTTCGACGGTCCAGCACCCCCATGCATCCCGCTGGACTACCAGACCAGCACATGTTAGTCGATCTGGAAGGAACTATTGTCTGAAAGTTCACAAAGCGGCCGTTTCCATAGAGACCACCACTTGCATCGCCATGGCACTTGCGAATCCATGGCAGTGGCCCAACTCACTCTAAGATCTAGCGCATGCTCCGTTTATGAAAGGCTCAATAGGTGCGTGCATTCCACATGGCAGCCAGCTGAAAGCATAGCAGCATCTTAGAGCGCTTCAAAAACCAGCGCCTCATGTGCGTGTGTTTATGTATCTGCGTGTCTGTCCTGCTTCCTGCCTGTCGGCCTCTCTGAATCAGTCTCTGTATGTGGGTATGTATGTAGGTAGGTATGTACATCTACATATATGTTATATGTACACAAACTTAAAGATACGTTCATCCATCTATACGTTACATATATATATATATACACACAGTACATCTACACCTAAATTTCCACGCGCTAGGGTCTAGCAGAGAAGCTTTCCAATGCTAGTTTTAGCAAACATGGAATCAATGCAACAACCTGGTGGGACGCCCACGTGCGGTTAGAGGCAGTGTTGCTTTTCCGGGGCGGGATTTGCAGGTGCCCCAGCGAACTCCAGACCGGCTCCTTGCCATCTGCTGAGGCTTTCCGTTGTGTTGTCTCTCATGATCTGGAGGCCGAAACGGGCAAACACGTCCATGCTGTGAGTGAGTCGCAGAGCATGAGGACGGTCTGCTTGCATCGGGACCGTGTTCCGCGAAAGCAACCTGATGCACGGTGTTTTTTCTAAACTTCAGCCCCGAGTCACACAAGCAGTCTACAGTCAGCTGTGTCTCTCAAGGCTTATTCCTACCTCAAGACGTAATCAATACCTAAGTACAAGCATCCAGATTGGACCAGCTCGCAACACCGAAGCCCAAATCCGACAATGGCCTTTGCGCTAGGTCCGCTCATGATGAGGCGCTTACTTACGACTCAGGGGCTATATGGAGGGACCCCTTATTTCCTGGAATTCCCTCAGCGGCCAGCAGCAGAGACGGAGGCAGTGGGTCTGGTCTTCCCGGCAGCGGAGTTCAAGAGATGACGCGAGAGACGAGGCTTTGCACTTTCCACCTTAACGAACGCCCTAAACTTCCTAAACCTACACTCTAGGATTTGGGGGTTCGGAGTTCAGGCTTTAGGCGTATTTCGACTTGGGACAGGCCGGGCCTTCAACGGTGGGAAAACATCGTTTAGGGTGGTTTATGGTTTGGATTCTGGGGTGTAAGGATTTGGAGTTTGCAAAGGGCACCAAAGCCTCCTGACCAATCTTTCAGGCTTGTGTTGCAGTGTTTGCGGGGCCGGAGGTGCACAAATACTGACAAAGGCCTGCTAGCACGTTGACACATGGTCAAATTTAGCAACATCGAATTCTTGTGAAGATGGTTTTTGCTTTGGCAATCGGGAGCTTCGGCAGTTGACAAGCGCTTCAAACAACAAATGAAGGAAGAAACCTGCCCTAAATATCCCTAAATCCTACATCTCGATGATATTCACGATTTTGTGATAGCTTTCGCTGTATTGAGAAATGAAGCGGATGCGATTGATGCCTGGATTTCTACGCTTGTCTGCATCTCTGTAGGGCCGGTTTTTCTTAGCACACAGATTTAGGGCAGGAGCTTGTCGTGTCGTTTGGGTATTGGGCTCGGTTTTGAGGCTTGGGTTGAGCATGTGGGCGTTTCGGGTCTTAGTTTGGGTATTGACCCTCGTGTGCGGAGATGGGGCGCTGGGTGCTGTGCGCCCCCCTCCCCCCCAGCCTCAGGTACAGTGGCAGCGGCAGCAGTGAAGCGGTCTTCCCCATCGCCTCGCCGATCAGACTTCTTGCTTCCTCCTGCTCGGTATGGTCGCTATCCGCTAATCGTGTCTGAACCGCTGCATATTGAGCTTAGTGTAGCAAGATCAAACACAGCTACAAGTACAGGTTTGGATCGTGCTCAGCACCAGCACTTCTCCTATCTGTGAACCTAATCTCTTCTAATCTACAGAACAATCTAACCTCTCTCCGACTCTAACCTGTCTAGCCAAGTCTAATCAACCAGTCAAACGAAATGAACTCAATATACCGTACTCGTCCAGCTGCCTGACGGACTCTCTGACACGCTACGCTTAAACGCAGCAACCAAGGGCATCATGTACATGCATCACATTGGTCTGGCCTGCTGGTTAAACGGCAGGTGAGCGAGGAGGACGAGAACATGTAGTGCTGCTGTACGGCTTACTAGTCCTAAACCACACGTTTCCCACGGTCTGATTGTCGATATGTGGCACATAGTGAGGTCGTCTTTCAGGTTCGGTTTGTGCGCTGCGCTCTTCTTTGGCCCCGTCGATGCATCCCAGCCCATAAGCAGCCTCAGTTCCTGCCCTTGCTCCCGTTGTCTCCCTCTCCTCGTCTCCTTTGGTTTTCCCAAGGCCGCCTCATGCCCTTCCATTGCCTGCCTTGTCCTGTGGTGCTGGCCGCGGCTTCCTCACCTTGCTTGCGCTTAGCGGTGCTTCTGTGCGAGGACTCCTCCTGCAAATCACGCAGGTCATTTCAGTTGTCTTGTTGCATCACGCCGCTGTTCACTCGCCATGTGCTGCACATGACTATACGTTTGCCATGCTCCTCCCCGATGGGTCAGTCAACACTGCAGGCTCGTCAAACACGCCCGCATGGGCCGGCCATAACTGCCCAAGACACTTCATCCGAAAAACGTGGACCCGCTATAGAAGTCCCAAAAGCCAGCCCAGATTCGACCCGACAGCCCTAGTTAAATGCAGCTCAAAAACCAAGCAGCCCTGAAACCCTCGAGTGCAGAACTGCTGAATTCTAAAACTTCAACACTCCTAGACCCCCTAGACCCTTTTGCCTTAAGCGCGGTTTGAAAGCAGGTCGTCCTGCAGCTGCCTGCAAGGCTCGAAGTTCTCCACTTCCACGGCAGCCGGGTCGCGACCGGGGAGCTCGCGTTGCCAAGCCTCCAAAAAGGCGAGGCATTGGACCAGCTCCTGCTGCGAGGAGCCCGAGGTGTATTTGCGGTGTGCGGTATATAATATAACATATGCATCTGCATGTATATGTCAAGCATAACTTCTGGAACTTACACGACAGAGTTTGTGTTTGGAGGGTTTGGTGAACAACGTTAGGGCTTGCTTTTGTGACCTGATCTACGGGATTTTAGGTGTTTGGGGCGGCAGAAAGCAGATGTCGGTCGTTAAGATCATCCTGGAGGGAGGTTGAGCTCGTCATAGGTGCTTTGGTATGTTGCAGGCTTCCGTCGGCCTTGTCTGTGGTTTCTTTACTACCTCCACTCTGCGGTCAAAAACGTGTGACACCCTTCCTCTCAGTATGAAATTCAACCATGGAAGAATGTTACACATTGTTCGAGTTAGCTTTAGTCTTCCATGACACAGACTTCTCGGCTGGCATTAGCCCGCCCTGCACCCTAAATCTGAACCCAAGCCGAGGAATCCAGGAGGTAAGAGTTCAACAGTCCTGGGGTCCCGGATCCAGTACGGATGACTCCCAGCTCTTCGCCTTCAAAGGCCAACGATGTTTCGATGTAATCTCCACCAAAAGCCTCAACCCAACTGGCCCCAAAACCTCAAGTCCTTTTTTCAGCACGGACTAAGGTGCCGGCCAGCGCCTATGCAGCTCTCACCCCCTCTTAAGGCAAGAGCGAAACCTCAATTCCTAAACCCTGCATGCAGTTGGCACGGCAATGCTGCATACCACAACTGCACCTTCTAAGAGCACATCTGCTACAACAGGCTCTGACAGGTTCGGGCTTCCAGGTTTTCGCCTCCAGCAACTCTGCTGCCTGGGTCTCGGTGATGTTCGTGACCTCTAAGCCGAGTGCTATCATGTTCGTGGCATGCAAAGCCGTAATTTTGATGACACTCTTGGCAAAGTTCGGGCCAAACAAAACCAACACACCGCCTATCGCTGTTTTGAAAGAGCGTTCTGAAAGATGAGGTCATCTGCTCACTCCAACTAGCTGCGCTGGCCGCTGTCTCCAGCATTCAATAATGACTCTCTCGCTCTCTGCCGCTGCATTCGGATGGCCCCCAGCATGACGTGAAACCTCGACTCAAAGATGGACAGCGTAAGGCTTGAGGAGCGGAACCCTACATCCGGGAAGCCACTCAACCCCAAACGAAAGGGAGGAGAGCCCAGGTCATCCTGAAACGCTAAGCCGCCAACACCCCTGAAACTTTCCACTTCCCATACCATCCATACCCAGGCCCTGCGTAAGACGTGTCAGAATTTCTGCACTCCTAAGGTCGGTACCTTTAGCGCCAGGAGCAGCTCGCAAGGCACCGTGCCGGGTGCACCGTACAGCAGGGGCCCAGCTTTGGCAGGAAGAGTGTGTGGCACAAGCTGCCTAAGCTGGACGGTTGGCGAAGGCTCGAGTCGGCTCGAGTTTTCGTAGTTCAGAGTCAAGGGTTGTGAAAAGCTCCAGAAGCACCAACTTGCTCTACAGCAGCGTAGGTTGATGCGAGCTGCCTGCGGTGGGCCAGGCAGTGGTGTAGAAGCTCGGATCTCTTTGGGCTGTCCGGGAACTGCAAGGGGCAGACCAGCCTTGCTTCCAAGAGCGCAGAAACGAATTCTGGGAGTTTATCGTCAATGACTGTACGCACTTACCTTCTCATGAGTTCGGACGGGTTCAGCAGCCTGGTGGCCCCTGACAGGGGTTGTCCGGAATGACGAAGCCGTAACAAAACAAGAGCTGCTCGTTGGTGTACTCCCCGTAGCAGATTCGAACCTCCTCCCCTTGGGCAATGTCCCGAACCGCGACCATGGAGACACTTCCATCCGCGTTGTTCCGAACATCCGCGTTGGCGACCTTGTGGGTAGCCGCATGGTTAGCGATGTCCACAATGGGAATGAGCACCAACCGATCGCTTCCTTTAGGAATTTTGAAGGCGCGAGACATGATCACAGACTGGGCCCAAACAGACAGCTCCCACAAGTGCTGGCGGTCATCTGCTTGTTGCAACTCTGGCCCGACTGCTTCCAGCAGTTTCGTACGCAGGGAAAGGGTGTGACGAAGCAGAGACGTCCCTCTCAAGGCAGCGGTCAAGGACTCTGGAGGCCCGTCGGCGAGGCTCCCTGTGGCCAGCTGCAGCGGGATGCCTGGCTTGAGTTTCTAGTTTACACGCACTATGAGATCCTTGAACCACAGACCAACAGTGTGAAACATTTGTGGAGTTGCTGCTGTAGAACTACCACCATCAACCTAGCAGTCGTCGTCGTTGTGAATGACGGCAGCGACAGCACGATCGACATCATTTGTCAGAGTTGAATTTGATTGTGTAAAGAGACATGTGAATAGCGAGGTATTCTCAAACATCGCCCAAGGCACTTCCCGGCGGTTGCATCGCCTTCACGAAGGGGCTGGGTTTGGCAACAGCGTCCACCAGCCGTCGCCTCTTTCAAGTTGGCTCGCTTGTATCTGTCTTCCCTGATATGTGTGTAGAATTTTGGGGCAGCGAGGCAGAACTGACTCTCTGCATCCGAGACACATTGGCATCAAGCAACCTGAACCTTGAACGTCCCTTACGTTCCTCCCGGGCTGTAAACTTAAGGTACTCTTAAGGTCCTAGAGCGGATTCCACTCCATTGTTCAGCTTACCGGAAGGTCTGCTCTACACAGTGATGCGCACGCCTTCAGGGCGAGAAGAGCCTTGAATTTCGGAGCGGCTGTGAAGGGCAAACCCCCGCACGCTATATTCGCTATATCCCTCATATTTCAATGAATCGCTAAGGGCCAGGAAATAGTCAAAGTGGGTATAGGTATAGTATACTTCCAGTAAAATTTGTGGTATGATTACAATAATTTTACAGTCCAATAGAGCCTGGTATAGGCATAAGTAGAGTCCAATTATGCCCCAAACCTTCGTACACAAAGCGCCTCAAGAGCATCGATGCTCCAGGAAGCTCCTCACCGGGCGCCAAGGGATGGACCCCGGCCGGCGCATGGCACTCCCGCGCGACCCACCTCTTTAAGGCTGTCGGAGCATAGGGGAGTGTGGGGTTAGGGGTTTTTTGGTGCCATATGCGGCTTCGGGTTTCAATGCATTTGGGCTTTGGCCGCTTTTGTCTGGGATTCTACAGATCCATGTGCGGACTTTTGCGCATAGGCTTCTGCTTGATGAAGAACACTAACAATCGACGGGAAATGTCATAATATGGTGGTTGGGATTTGAGGTTGGAAGTGTTGGGGGTTTTGGGTGGTTTTGTGCGTTTTTCGGCGTAGTTCTTCGGCCGACTCCCGAATCCTTAAGTTGTGCACAGGCAACGACACACCTGTTCTCCCCCAAGCCTGGCGACAAGAAAGAGCATTGAATATCGTTGAAAAGATCTGCGGAATTCTGGGCATGATCTGTCAATATGTCATCGGTTCGGTGTCTAGACATCTCGCAGCTGCCCATCATGAATTCGACTATGGTATATGACGATAACCATGCTATTTCATCACAGGCATCTATAGACCCCAAACCCACACATGCCACCACAGACACAAGAGCTTTGCAGGCGTCGTCACCTTGGGGTGCAGGCATTGAATGTCTCCGGGCTTTGGTGTTTGTGTTTCGAAGGAGGTTTTGGGGATCAAGGTTGAGTCTTAGGACGGTGTTTGTTGAAGTTCATGGCTGGTGGCGGTGTTAAGGTTTACGAATTTCAAGCATCCACGAGTTTGTTTTGCAGTGCACGGTTACTAAGTAGTGGCATCCCATTCAACAGCGATCAGTACCTGGAGCAGTTGAAGCCTGCCAAACTATCCACATCACACAAACTCAGTCTTGTACTAACGCAGGCCCAGCAACCCGGAAACTCCGAGTGCTGCAAGATCAGGTGCTGGTAGCCTAAACCCCTATCCTACACCTGACCGCATGAGCACAGGATCATGAAGGCTTAGGGACTCCTTTTCAATCGAAAAACCCACTAAACGCATTGGCCGGTCACCAGCACAGCGTCTTTCCCGATGTCGGCCCGGGTGCAAAGGGCCCATCCGAGCCCCGGGAGTTGCGTTGCCTGGATGCTCTCGTGCACAAACCTTGGGTTTGAGAATGTGCGGGTGGGATGTTGGGGTCTGAGGCTGTGGGGTTTTAGGACGCAAAATAGAGACCTGTAGTTATCAGAATAACGTGGTTTCCGGACGGTGCTATATTTATTTTGAACAAGAAAATAGTAACGAAGCCTCCTAGAGGCCCTCCTCTTGCGCGATGCCACTGCAGCACATGATTGGGGTCGTCGTTTCGCTTCCTGGACGGCCCCAATACGGGAAATGCGAGTACTCACGATAGCGACAGCAAGCATAATGATGATTACAACTGCTACGGTGAGAGTTTCGAGTTACAAAGAAGCCATCCAAGTTTCATATTGAACGTCAATGCCGGCCCTGGATCCAAAACCCAAAACCTGCAAATCCAAAGCACTAAAGTCCTGGAGAGAGCTTGACTCTCATCGTGCCCCTGGCAGGCTGCAGGAGAACTCCAAAACGAAACTTTCCTGGGAGAGGGTTGGCTTGAAGTGAGGACTCCTTTCTTTGCAGGCTGGGCACATTCGGCCTGGTTAGGTGTGACATTATGGCGCTCTTGCTCCTTCTGAGGCTTACTCACAACTTTCATGCAAGGTTCTGTCTTCGGTTTTACGTCAGTATAGCTCGAATTGCGTCGTGAACACGTACTGGAACTTGGGCCCAGTCTCCATCTGTTAAGCCTCCGCGGAGGCAAAGGCTTCGTGGGCGTTGTGTCATCGGAGAACTGGGGAACACCCAGCCCGGCCACAAGTGGCAGGAAGGGGCTGCAAACAGCTCTGCTTCTCATGATGTCAGGCGCTGGTGAAGGATGCAGGATAAAGCGGCTTGCTGCCAAAGAGAGTCTGCCAATATATGAACCCTATGCTTAAAACCTGAGAACAAGGCTTTGGCAGTTTCCGATGTCCCCGAACGCCCGGAGCATGTTCCTAAGTGCAGGGTCCTTGTGAAGTACGGGTAATGTCGATGTGGAATTTGGCCCAGTTGCAGCTTCCATAGCTTGGATCCGGGTGCTTCGGCGTATGGGCAAGCCTTCGACTTTGTATGATTCAAACTCCAAGTCATCCCTTCCCCTACCCTGAAAAAGCGCCAATCAGTCGGCTGTGTCTTCGGCCCCAGGAACTCTACACTCATTCACTTCAGCATCTGCCCTGAGCCTGCCGTCACTATTGCAACTGATGGTGTGCTTTGGTGTGCGCCTGCGGCCTGAGTCACTGGGGCGTACCTTTCCGTAACTTTCGTTGGGCACCAAAGACACATGACGGTGCTCTCGTATTCTCACACTAGTTGCTGACTTACTGGGCATGTGCCTGGCAGTCCTTGGCAAAGCCTCAGAGGTCCAAAGCCTAGCACCTGCCAGCAAAATGTCCTTAGATCCATGTGGTTATGGTCCTGGGATGATTGGGCAACGTTTCGGGCACTCCCGCAGAGAATAATGCCACTATTGCCCGGAACTGTTTACTCAAAGAGAGGACCCACTCGGGGCGGCTGCCGAATCCCCTCCGCTCCGTCAATTTTCCGCATGTGGCAGGCAGTAGCAAACTACCATATCCACGTATATTGCCGCATGGAGTTTTACGGGGTCTTATTTTAACACTTCTGGTCGGTATTTCCCGGAAATCCCCATGACATGATGTCGGCCGCATTGAGCCAAACCTGATCTAACATCGGCATCCTCGCCGACCACAAACAATTACGCTGCAGGCTGCAGCGCGTTAAACTTTGGGGAATCTTTTCAGGCAGCCTTTTGCCTACTGCGTGGACGAGCCTGAGAATCTCATGCGCTTGCCCGTTCGCAGCAGCATATCTCTCCTGATCATCTAGTCGACAATTTGCCCCAGTCTGCTTTTTGAGAGGGCCAAACTGGCAGCCTTTTGGTTGCTCGGCTCCACTCCACGTAAGCCCAAGTCAGGATCAGGCCTTCACTGCCACGACTACCCACATCGGGTTGGCACGCCTTGCACTTGCGAACCGAACCCACAGCTTCGGGCTTGCACCCAAAGATGCCCAAAGCGAGGGCGAAGGACTCGCACTCTCTCTGCGGGGCCCAAGACATGTCAGGCTGGGCCCAGCCGCTACACATCAACTGTCCCTCTCGACTTTCTCTGCAAGAAACTTCCCTCTCTTGCAGGTCGAGGCCCAGACGGGCCCTTAGTTATGTCCACCGACTGGATATCCTTCCTGTCACGGGAGCAGCGGACTAAGGGTCTAAGAGTCTAGAGAATCAAGTACAGTATGCGAGGTTTCCTTCATGTAGATCTGGAGCCGGCGAGTCGGATGCGCACCCATGAAGGTTCTGAACAACTCCGGAGTAGGCGAAGGGTCGCTCTGCCCCGAAGAAAACTGGGGACCCCAAGGCAAGCTTGTCTTAAGGTTTGTGTCTCAAGGAGGCTCTTGAAGGGTTTGTAGTTAGCGTTTTGTGGAACAGGCTCAAGGTTCTGAACATGCTTCATATGTTTTTGTTGCCGGTTGGGGTGGCAAATGATGCTCCGATGGTTCCGGGTCTCCAGATTTTGTGACGAATAGAAAGAGGAGGGTGCAGAGAAATCAGCCCAAGCCCTGAGGGCCCTGAGTCCCCCGACCATCCACCGGAGGGGTTGAAGTGAAAGTAATTTCCCACCTCGCGTGTTTTGAGTCTCAGTGACCCACATGCTGTGCTTGTCTCAAGCAGCCGTGTCTCGCCACCCACATCAGTAAAACTGGACCCTCTATGTCTGAACCTTATACTTCTCAGACCCTTCAAAAGCAGTCGATCTTCGCATGCGGTGCCCCAGGTGGTACGTGTCCATGAGTTCCATGCAGGGCACGTGCACGGATCAAGGTCCCGAGAAGTGCCACCACAGCTAAACAAATCAGCCGAGCATGTTCCTTCTCAGCAGCTCTGGCGAGGTACTTGGTATTTCCGGATGTAGCAGTCCGACCACCAACAGTTCCGAAGGCCCTGACCCCGACGAGCTCCACCTGAAGCCCAACTCCCGACACAAGGAACCTACACCTAAACTGCCCAGAGCCACTAGAGCCTCAGGGCCTAAATTTCTTTGAGAACCTAGGGCCCGGCAATTTGGCAGTGGCCAGGTCCGTCGCCTTGGAACATGGAAAATCTTCAGAGCATGTTCGGGTTGGGGCATACAGACTTAGCTGGCTTCAGGGTTTTGGCTCACTGGACGATGAGGTGTACGGTCAGTGGGCTCATAGACGGTGAACTTTACGGCCGAAGTTTTGGGCTTGTAGCCTTCAGGGTTTCGGGCTGATAGACGTGGGGATTTCGGTCCATTGAGGTTTACGTTGCGCGGAGAGTAGAAAAGCACTCGCTTGCACCCTCACTCCTTGTTCTCGACGCCGGATGGTATCCCCTGACCCCGAACAACACGTACAAGCGGCGAACCATGCTGATTAATCGATTAAGCCACGTCTCTACGCAGCACACATTCATAAAGATCGTAAGCGGTGTGAATTGAGAGAGAAAGAAAGAGACACAACGAGGGAGCGAGAGAGAGAGACAGAGAGAGAGAGAGAGATATAGCGAGCGAGCGAGGGAGGGAGGGGGAGAGGACGAGAGAAAACGAGCCAGAGAGAGAGAGAGAGAGAGAGAGAGAGAGAGAGGGGGAGAGAGAGAGGGAGAGGGAGAGAGGGAAAGATATGTGCGCCGATGCTGGCTCAAACGAACTGTAGCGTTCAGGATGTGTAGAGTGTGAGGTGTTGGTGCACCTGCCAGGAAGATGCAAGCAAAGGCCAAACTCGCCATTTAGTTTGGTGAGCTCGTTTGTGCCATTGCTTCGGAGGTGTGTTTTCGAATCAGTGCAGAAAACTGCAGACGTGCTTGAACCTGGAACTCTTGGCAACACCTCAATCACTTCAAACCACCTCAAATCATGTAGCTCATAACTCGAATCCAAAAGCCCAATGCACCTCCAATCCAGCACCTGTACGCGACTGCGCTCTTCAACCGTGACCTGTCCTGAAGCCGCAGCCCTTGAACCGTCTCGCCGTGATCCCGCTTCACCCCTCAGCCCTGTAGAGACTCTCACAGCTGCACAGTCTATCGTTGTCGTCGCTGCCTATTCAGTACATTGCGACGATTACCATCTCTGGTGTTGTTACCGGTGTTATTCTGTCACGGTTGAATACTAGGAGCAATACTGTTGCCACTCTTCATGTTGCTAAGTCGAAGGTGTGGATAGTCCCACCACTGGCCGAGGCCGGAACTCATGTCCCGAACCCACATTGAAATTGCCTGCGGAGTGAGGCTTCAGTTTCAGCACTCACAACTAGTGAAGCAGGCGAGGATCCAAGTTGAGGCTTCAGTTTAGAACTTACGGGTTGTAGGGTTTGGGTGCAGCATTTGCATGCAAGATGTTGGGTCGCGAGCTCCCTGCCTTGGTAAAGAAGCACCGATTGCTGAAGGACATGATGGCCACACCTAAGCATGACACGTGCAGTGACAGTCAAGAAGTCAGATGTCCAGCTAACCACAACATGCTCTGTGGGGTCGGGCTTCTGGTGTTATGGCTATTGTTCATGCTGAGGCTGGAAGGGGCCGGTAAAGCTTCCCTCAGCATCTGGAATGCCAGCATAGCGGCCTCCCGGTAGTGTGCAAGCTTTGGTGTCACACTGTTACGTTCCCTGTCTATCTATAGTCTTGCAGTAGTCGTAGTAGTAGTAGTAGTAGTAGTAGTAGTAGTTGTTGTTGTTGTAGCAGTAGTTGCAGTAATTAGTAGGAGTCGTAGCAGTTGTAGCAGTCGTAGCAGTAGTAGTAGTAGTAGTAGTAGTAGTAGTAGTAGTAGTAGTGGTAGTAGTAGTAGTAGTAGTAGCATCAGTAGCAGTAGCAGTAGCGATAGCAGTAGCAGTGGCAGTAGTGGTAGTAGT